GAATCGCATAAAAATTTAGAGAATGAAATATTCAAGAGCCCCTTTGGCAGGCGTTCCAAGCCCTCCTCGTTCGTCACTTGTGCGAGAAAAATTCTCGCAAGTTTAAAATGCAACAGCACCTGGCACTCATGTTCTCTATGCAAGTCTATCACTGTTAAGCAGCTTTAGGTTCACGAATTTTCTTTACTCCAGAAATGCGATATTGGTACAACAATTTATTTTGAGCTTTGAAAGATTTAAGCTGCTCAACGATTCTGAGTATACGCACAAGAAAGTAGGAAGCTTTATCACCATTATTGCAGTATAATGAGCAGAGGTTTATCATATCACCTTCAACATTTCCTGACAATTTATCACAGCTTATCAAAGAAGAGAATACCGCGAATATGTAGAAGTTGTGGTTACTGCTAAATAGCTTAAAGCTCAACTGTTAAGCTAAATATTGACATGTTTGTTTTTGTTCCGAAACGAGAATAGGTGTGGAATGTCATGCGACCACGTTCAAGTTAATCAACAAATCAGTGTGAATTCCATCGCTGCAATTCTTCAAAGACAGCTTTCTCCCATGCACACAGTGAGCGCGCCAAGGACGATATCCACGACAGCGAGAACTAGCGCTCCTACTGCCAACCAAAACGAATAGCCGACCTTAATGGATAGGTGGAAAATGATTATGACAAGGTATTTTAAAATACTAATTGGTAGAAATTCTTTGTAGCTGGCTGAAATGAAGCATTTCCAAATAGCTTCATTTGACGACGACGGACTGCAAGCTCTTCTTCAGGTCTATAACATCATCCTACATCACGTACGTACATAAAAGAGGAAAGCATAACAAATTGAAGCAACTAATAAGCTACAAAAAGGGGAATCCGGGTCGGTGGAAGTGGATCGACACCGCTGAGTTCGCCACACGGAAAGAAATGAAACAACAAAATAGAGGGGATTCATGGTGGATAGAAGCATTCAGACCTTTCAATTTAACATCTGTCACGTAGCCTCATCCTCAAACAGTGATTGCATAGCGTGATTTCCATGGTATCGCGAGTTTCTCCCTATTGTTATTTGAAGGTTTCCACCTTCGTATTTCGAGTGCCTCTTTCATTTCCCTTTCCACCGCATCAGTCACCTTCTTATAAACCACGCGACAAATGTTTTCAAGTCATGAACAAGGTGACACGTATACTTTTCGAGAACGATATGGATGCAGATGTGTGAATTGTTGGCGCCCGTTCCAAGCGCTAAGAGCCACTATACTGATACTACCGTACTTCGCCGACTTCTTGCTAAGGATGTAAACGGCGTGATCAAGAGATCTGGGATGCCAAGCCGCTTGATATTCCGACCGCCTTCCATCACAGCACCGTCTGCTCAGTTCGTCTGGACTGTACGAAAGCCACATAAAGTGAGCATACTGTCGAAAATACGCCTTCAAAAGAACACTGCTCACGAAGTGGAGTGTGCCTCATGCTTGGAGTTTTAGAGAAAGTGGACGCCCTCTCTACAAAAGGCTTCATGAACATAAACATCTAAGGGCTCTTCAGAATCCAAGTAGCTATCCGGAGCGTTAACTCGAAAACTCAAACTCAAACTCACACACATGAACGTGCATCCGAAATCAAGTCTGCGTGAGAACATGAGTGATCCGTTGGAAAGAAAAATATAAGAGACACTCGAAATATGAAGGCGAAACCCTCCAAATAATAGAGAGGATTTCCGAAATTTCATGGAAATCATCGCTATGTAATCAATTTTTGAGATGCACGTGGCGGATATTAAATTGAAGAACATCGAAAGCTACTATCCTTACCATGATTCCCCTTTGCCTGGCTGCTCTATTTCTTTCCGCCGTGTAGTTGCAGGAAAGACTGATCCCCGTTACGTACTCTTTCCAATCTCTATCCCATCACTCTTACAACGAACCAAAAACTCAGCGAAACCGATTCGCTCCCCTCTACCCGGGCTCCCCTTTCTATGACCAGTTATTTATCTTGCTTATGCATTCGTATATCGTGTTGCACATGCTTCACTCCTCACATGTAGGTGCGCAAAGAATGGAATGTACGTACGTAATGAATGGATGATGTCATAGACCTGTAGAAAGCCCTCAGAGCCGGAAACATCGTCAAATGATGCTTTTTGGAAAAGCTTCATTCAATCAACTACAAAGAAGTTCTATGAAGCAATGAAGTTCAGGAACCCTCTGATCTTGACTAGCCGTAGAATGGACCCTCTATAGAATTTATCCAATGGCACAGGTGTGCACTGGGTCGATAAGATCAATTAGGGACTGCTCACGGTGGGGCATTTTCTAAATAGACTCTGCTCAATGAAAAAAATTTCTATATCGGTCAGTAGGAAGCCAGAGGAAAAGTAGGTTAAGAAAAGCAATATCCACGGCGTTTTTAGCATACCTGAACTGAGCGGAAGCCCAAATAGACACGCTCCACCCAAAGCAGGTGGAGCGTGTCTATGAGTAGGCGCCGTTTATTACAAGTCCTCATAATTTGGTTCGGAGTAGTCCCAGAGATCGAGGGAAAAGTGGATAGAGGAAAGAAAAAGGGAAGGTCGAATGCTGATGGAGGGCGTAGAGTGCACTGAAGTGGGAGGGGTCCATGACTGGACTCATAGCTCGGCTCCAAGTGTCCTGGAAACCGGGAAAACGTAGGTTTGTCAGTGGGAGGGAGGTAAGATGCTTCTGATGGTTAGTTTGGCAGAGTTTGTCACGAAGCTCTATAAAAATATCGATGGCCCTGTTTTAAGTCAAGGAAGGGTTTGTAGCAGTAGCTTACCTCAGATGTGACCTTCGATTCAATGTCCTTCAAGTCTTCCATTCCTTCTGAAATCCGTAATTTCATGAAATTACGTGGGTGTAACCGAATAATATACTAGCTAGCGTGATCATGTGCATCTACGCGCGATCCGATGAACACTTCGAAGAAGTTCATCGAGCAAGGCTGTACCACAAGATTGTGTACAACTCTATCGACGCACATGACCTTCGTGAAGTCGTGTCAACTGTACCAAAAGCTTCCTTGTTTTTGAAGCCGTACACGACGACAGCCGCTGCGAGGCAAACAGAGGCGCCGACCGCTGCCAGTGTCAGTGGATGTAGGAGGAACTGCTTGCAACAACACGCACACCTGCAAATTCATGATACAATAAAAAAACTACCGAACTACCATCCAAAGTCAAATGAAAATTGAAACACCCAAAGCAAAAGGTCGAATCGTGACAGTCCAACTCGATTTTAGCATAGCATATCTCTCTCCTTCTCTCGATCACTTAGCGATTTTGCGTCCAATTAAATACTAGGTCGGTCAAAAAGTATCCTCCTCCTCGCACCTCAGGCTTTGAAACATCACAACTCTGCTGAAACACAACCTTTAACAGAATCTGGAAGCGGTATGAAGATGATTTCGGCATACTACTCTTTCAACAGCGATTTCTCCTCCAAGTGTTGCTTCATTGCTTCTTCATGTTCTTTCATGCACTACAGGGCGAATTACAAAAAGCGCTTGAACCCATTTTTGAATGAATTCAACAGAGCAGGGGGTCGTCAAGCGCTATCGTGGTAAGGGTCGAACCTCATCTGTCCTTCACGCAGGCTACCACGCTGCAGTTTTTTCATGCATTAGATCCTACTTTTTACGGCAATCCACCGTCATAGGCCGACTCTGTCGTCACACTTCTCAATGAGTTGCGACATCAATCACTGAGGAAGAATCCGTGTTGAAGCGCTCTGGGTTTTGGGATGCTCCAAGGCAACTCAATCTCGTTTACCCATTGAGCAACCTTTACATTATCATCATGCAGATTCATAGTTTCGTCCTACACTATTATCTATCACTCCTTCCTGTTGCAGTGTAGTGTCCAAGCGCATAGCGCGCAAAGCACTCGAGCTGCCAGCATGGGTCAGTTCAATGAACATATTGACGACTGTTCTGCTCCTTCCTCATAGCGTTCAGCCGGCTGAGCACGATGTCCTTAGAGACTCCAACCTCTCCTGCTCTACTTGCAACTAGCCGCTGCGATGAGCTCCTTTCTTTTCTTTTGCACAATACAGTATATTAGGGGCATACCTCTTACTACGCGCAATACCTTCGAGCTTTATTTCTTCATATCCAAACATGGTGACGTCTCGCGCTGTGCATTTTTTAGGTGCTTTCTCTGTTGTTGTATCACCGCAAATTTATATCCTAAAGGAAGTCACTGGGTACCCGCGTACGTAATCAGTTGGCGCCGCACGCGTTGCGCGCACAATACAGATCTGCGGCGAAAATTCTCAAATTTGGTTTGAGCGACCATGGCAGTATCGAATTTGAAATGATGTGCAAGCTGTCCTATCCCGTGTACGTTTATAAACGTAGATACTCTAGGTGTAATTTTGATCAACTTCGTACCAGTCTAGCTCAGATACATTGGGTCCCTTTGCTTGAAACCAAAAGTAATGTAAATGACAAGTATGAACTTTTCCTATCTATTTTACACGTGCGATTGATTACTATGTCCCTTGGGAGAAGTCCCTTGCTTCAAATCAGTTCAACTTCCTAGTCATCTGCAGAGAATGTGGGAGCACCGCGAATGTCTCTTTCATGAGGCTAGACAAACTGACAACTTTGACAAGTACAAAGCTTTCACTCAGAAATTTTATACACGTCTCAAGAAATATAATGATTATTTGGAGAGGAAAATTATTGACTCTGGGAATGTTCTGTCTTTCCATAGATACGTTGAATAGAAGAATCAAGGAATCTAATCGTATTATCGGTTGTTTGGGAA